ATATATATATATATATATATATATATATATATATATATCAGGAGGCTTTTTCTTTTAACTTTACAGGATACTTTGCTTCACAAAAGCATTCAAATAGTAATTTTCTGGTTCATTTAAAATTCAATATGATCTGCAAAAGGTATTAAAAGTGACACTATTGTTGCATCAAATGAGATTTGTCTAGATGCTTAATTTCCAGCAAGAAGAAAAGTTCCCAGCTCCTGGAATAGTGATGGTCCATTGGTGGGTGAAACAGCTTGAAAACATGGTGAAGCAACTTCCTAACAAATTTGTAAAGTAATATTATAAGTAATAACTGTTTTTTAATCATAGAACCATCTACAGAGTGCTTTTTTGAGATTATTGCCCTTTATGAGTAAGAAATGTGAAGTTCAGTATGGTTAAGGAAGTTGCCCAAGACCACACAGCTAGTAAATGGCTACTCAGGGATGTAAACCTGAGTCAGAGTTATTTCCATCAACAGAATACTACACAGTAGGTAGCTTAAACGATGGGAATTTATTTTCTCACTGGTCTGGAAGCTAGAAGTATAAGATCAAGATATTGGCAAGTTTGGTCTCTCCTGAGGCCTTTGTCCTTGGCTTCCAGACAGCCACCTTCTCAGTGTGTCCTCACATGGCCTTTCCTCTGTGTGCACACTCCTGGCATCTCTCGTACCAGCCCTATTCTATTTGGGCCCCACTGTAATGACCTCACTTAACCTTAATTACCACCATAAAGGACCTATCTCCACATACAGTCACATTGAGGGTGAGGATTTCAACATATGGGTTTTAGGGGGACACAATTCAGTGCATAACACCCCCCGAAGAGGCTTAGTCTAGGGTGCAATGGGGTCAGACTGGCCAAACATGCACAGGGGAGCAAGACAGCCTGGTTGGTGGGAACATCCTACCTGAGCTGTGCCCTGAGGAGCATAAAGCAGGTCTCAGGGATGGGGGCCTCCATCAGAAAGCCTGGGGTGCTTTCCTTGGCCTCTCATCACTGCTCACTATGATGCATCTGGGTTTGCTTCTGGGTGGGAGAAGTGAGGTGGGCAAGACTCCTGCAGAGGCCTGAAGGTGGTGGCTTGAAACACACTTCTTCAATTTACCCTCTTTGTGTCTTATGCAGACTTCTTCAGACTTTCACTCTGATGACCGAGAACCCTGAGGTGGCTTATGCAAACCAAGATGCTGTCTGGTCCAAGTTTAATAGTATCTTCTTCACAATCTCTGGCCTTGTCCACTATGCACCAGTGTTCAGAGACTATGTCTTCCAGGCACTGGAGGAGTTCTACCAGGACAATGTACTCTACCTGGAGCTCAGAGCCATGCTGTTCCCGGTGAGCCCACCTCTCCTCTCCTCTGCTCTGGCTTGACTTTCAGATGTTACCTTGTAGGTCTTCACAGGCTCCCAATTCCAGTATTGGGATAGGGACTGGATGCTGCCTTCATCTCAAAGGGGACATGTGTCCTTCCAGGGATGACCATGAGCAAGGAAACCTGAACTGTACTTGGCTGGCTCCCACAAAATTATGACCTTCACCCTCACTGCCCTTTTACCCCATCTTCTCTCATGATCTCCACTTCTCCCCTTCTCCCCTTCTCCCGGATACACAGTGCCTCCCAGTTGCTCAACGTTTCCTGCCCTTGGGCTCTGAGCAGTGCCTCATGCCTGGACCTTTCTTGCCCTGTCTCCTTTCATATCAAAATTTAGCTTCCCAGAGTCCCTCAGGATCATGCTCTTGGTACTGGGACAGCTATTGGGTCTGGCAATTGGATCACCCTGGTAGCCTGGGGAGAACGGATTGCTGTGCGAGGGTCACCCAGTGAAAGAGGTGGGGATGGAGGCTGGGAGAGTAGGGAGACCACAGGTATGAGATGACAAGGCCACAGGCACAGTAGCAACGATGAGGAAGATCTCGTGTGCTGGAGGAGGAATCTAGAGGTTTTACTGACTAACTCTGGTGGTGAGGACTCTACTGCAACTGGCTGGTATTCAACTTGGGTTGTCTGGTGGTGACATTGATGGTGACATTGGGGATATAAGAGGAGGGGCTGGATGGGAAGGGAGAAATGGTTTTAAACCTGTAGAATGGAGGTGCTATGAGACATCCCTATGAAGATGTCCAGGAAGTTGCTGAATATATGACTTTGGAACCCAGAGGAGAGAGGGTTCTAGCCTGGAAATACATGTTTGACATTTGTCTGCAGAAAGGTAATCTTTAAAACTGTGAAAGGGATGAGGTTCCCACAGAAGCTGCGAGATGAGAGGAGGAGTGGGCCTGGAAGGGGGCCCTGCACACAGACATCCGATGAAAAGTTCATGAAGTGGACTCAGAAGGAGCTGTTCTAAAAGTAGGAGACAGCTAGGATGGCTTCCACAATAGGGGAGGCCTCACTCAGGAGAGCAGCCCCAGGCGATCAGATGCTCCCAGACCATTCCTCTGGGATATCTGTTAGAGAGAACTTCCCTGAGGACTCTTTGTGGGAAGGATTTGGGTATTGTGGGAATGGGAAGGATTTCTGAATCCTCACAAACATTGGAGATGGTTAAAGATTCTAAGGCGCTTGGGGAAAGTAACCTTTGTATAGAGCTCTCCCCTATATTGTATCCTAACTAGTCTGTTCATTCACTGAAATATTTATTGAGCGCATCAACACCTTGGTGACTGACCTTCAAGTTTGTGGCAAGGCCCTCAGGATGGCATTATTTTGGCTTTGTTACCATATTCCATGGTCTTTATAGGTTCAGAAATTGTATTGTTTGTACAGTCAGAAGTGATAGAGCTCCAGAGGACTGACACACATTGACCAAGTTCATAAGAGACAGATGTATAAACAAGAAAGGCAGAATGCTGTTTTTTGGAGAAAAATCAATCAGACCAGACACTTAGAGCTTCTTGATTGGTAAGTTCTCTCCTTGAAGGCAAATTGTAGCCTTTTCTAAAGCCAAATTATAGCCAGAAATGTGTTGTTGAACCAGAGCCCTCATAAGCCTGGTCACTGAGCTCTGAGAATTTACGGGAGTCCATGACAGTGTTCTTAACCTTGAGAAAAATCCAATGAATTCCCTGGGGGGGGGGGGGGGGGGGGGGGAAAGTGCTCGAATAAGTTGACTTTATTGAAGACAGTGTTTTCTTTTTCTTTTTTAATGTTTTTTGTTGTTGTTTTTTTTTTGTTTTTGTTTTTGTTTTTGAGAGAGAGAGAGAAAGATAGAGAACACACATGAGCAGGGGAGGTGCAGAGAGAGAGGGAGACACAGAATCCAAAGCAGGCTCTAGGCTCTGAGCTGTTAGCACAGAGCCCAACACGGGGCTCGAACCCATGAACTGTGAGACGGTTCTCACAGTCTGACTGAGAGACTGACTGAGCCGCCTGGGCATCCTGAAGACAGTGTTTTCACATGTATGCCTATGTATCTATGAAACTTTCTAGGAAACAACATAATGTACAGATTGTGATATTTTTGCATTCTAAAATTTTTTAAAAATTCTCTGTGGGATTCCTAAACTGACTTTACTACCCCTAGTTTGATTTAAAGTGTTCAAGGACTTTCTAATGAAGGATTTACGTGTCCCAAGAACCAGTAATTCCAGTTTGTGGGTCAGGGCTCCCTTTCCCTTCTTCTGAGACAAAGCTTCCTCAAGGCTCAACTCTCCCAACTGACCCACCTTTTCCCTTAGTTATGTTAATACCCTCCTTGAGGTTAGCTCAAGGCCAGGCCCTGGAGGGTCCTGGTGAGCTGGCTCTCAAGTAAGGGTGCCTATCTCCCCCAGGATCTGACGTTTGTTTGATAGTTAAAGCTTTAAGCACAGTTCTTGGGAAGTGGGAATGGGGCTGACCTTTGTCCCTCAGTAGAGCTTCCATTGGTTTTGGGAGCAGAGTACACAAATGATCCTTTTCCAGGAAGAGAGAGTGTCCAACAACCTCTTAAGAGAAGAATTTCTGTAAGAGATGAGCTGGCCCTGGGCCTGGCCTAGGTAAGGTGAAAGAAACTGCGCTTCCTGGAACAATTTATTCCCATGTTTTTTGACTAGGAAATCGTTCTGTCTCCAAGCATGCACTCCCCACCTGCCCCCCATCTAAGCCCCTCCTCCTGTCTGGGTCCCACTTAGGCTGGTTTGTAGGTTGGCCAATCCCTCCTTCACTCCCTTCCCAGGACTGTGTCAGTCCATATGTCCCCTCTTTGTCTCCTGGTCATGCGGGTATTCAGCACTGAGCAGTTGTTGCCTCGTTATTTATGTCAGATCATGAGATATTTCAGACTGGCACCACATCTTATATTGCCAAGAGGCACCAAGAGTGATAATCATGCTTGTTGGTTGTGGTCCTCAAACTTGGCTGTTCATATGAATAATTCAGAGGTGCTCTTTTTTTTTTTTTTTTGTAACGTTTATTTATTTTTTTGGGACAGAGAGAGACAGAGCATGAACGGGGGAGGGGCAGAGAGAGAGGGAGACACAGAATCAGAAACAGGCTCCAGGCTCTGAGCCATCAGCCCAGAGCCCAACGCGGGGCTCGAACTCACGGACCGCGAGATCGTGACCTGGCTGAAGTCGGACGCTTAACCGACTGCGCCACCCAGGCGCCCCCAGAGGTGCTCTTTAAAATTCGTGTTTGGACCCTGACCTCCCAGGGTTCTAATTCTGTGCTCTTGGGTAGGACCAGGAAGCTACAAAATCAACTAGCCTCTTCCTCTCCTCCCGGTGATTCTAATGCAGATGGTCTGACCCAGACCACACTTTGAGAAAAGGCCTTCTTTGCCTTGACCTTTACAAAGCACTTGAGGTGCATAGCAAGGTTGCATTTTACAGATGTGGAAACTGAGGCTTGGAAAAGCCAGAGTTTGACCAAGATCACGTTGGTGACTTGATTGGTGACTGGATAGATGCCAGGGTGCTGGACTTGAGCACTAAGGCAGCCAGGCTTCATCTCAAAAGGAGCCCCAGAGAAGGCATTCCGCTGTAAATCTCATCCTTCGGTAGGGAAAAGAGAGTCCCTAGGATTGGCTGAGCTGATGATTCACCTAGACTGCTGTTGGCCCCTGCTGGGAGCCAGGGGCGGGGGTTGCTTCCTGTTGGGCCATTCCTACAGTTTTCTCAGCGTGGGGCATGGGGGAGGTAGCCCGTCAAATCCTGGTGGAGCCCTGGGCTCCTTAGGGGGTGGAGGGAAAAGGAGGGAGGGGGGAAACTGTGGAGGGTTTGGGTCTTGGTCGGTTTGAGGGCTGTGACTTTCATCTTGAGCCCGATGGAGAAGCATTTAGGGGAAGATGCTGAGCAATTGGAGGGAGCAGTTTCCTGCTCCATTGCTCCCCCTTTTCTGAGGGGGTATTTTCTCCTTACCATGCTGAGTGAGCTCCAGGACATTTAACTTGGGGACCCTGCCTCGCTCCTAACCTCTCTTCCCACTCCGCCCACCCCCCACCATCCTAGAAGGTGGAAGGCTGCTGGGATTTGGGATTCTGGAGAGGCTGAGGGGGATGGGATGTGACCATTTGTTCTGCTCTGACCCTGGAACAAAGGCCTCTTGCAATAGAGAGTCTATGCCTTAATGCCCCCCATTAGCCAGAGTAGGGGGAGCCATCAACACATTAACAACTAAAAACCGTCTGCACTGGAATTCTTTTGCTGAGCCGCACAACCTCCCCCTTCTTGCTAGTGGGGCTAATTCAGGGCCTGGGATGATGTTGATGGACTATCCTGGCTGCTCAGCCTCCTATTGTGTTACTAATGCTTGATAACAAAGGCTACTTGCCTTTAGCAACAGTTGCTAGGCGGGTCTTATCTCCTGGGCTCCAGTCCCTTCCCCCACGGCCAGAATCTGAGGCCCAGACTGGGTCCTGGCGAGTCCTCAGAGTGGAGCTCTTATAAGACCCCAGAGGATTATCAACAGGAGATTGCCCTGCTGGTACTTATTGACAGGGGGTCTTGGGAGAGAGACAGGCAGTGGCAGAGAACCCACGATGGTTGTTCCCAGATGTTTTCTTGGATGCTGTCACTTGTATAACAAACATTACTGGCACTTCTACCCATCCCACCCGCCCCCGCCCCCCAAGGTTTTTCCTGGATTTTTGGCAGAGCCTCCACTGAAAATTCCACCTGGCTTGCTGCTGAAGTGACCCCTGTTTCGTGTTACTGGTATAACTGCAAGAATACTGACGATCGAGACTGGAGGGACCCTCTTAACTGCTCTCCTTTATAATAGCATTTATCCTACTATGCTGTATTCATGCTGTTTACTTCAAATCCACAAAATGGTAGATCTTAACCCCAGCTGTACATTATACATTAGAATCACCTGAGGAGGTTAAAAACAAACAAACAAACAAACAAACAAACAA